GGGAAAGAAAATGATTATTCAATCTAATTCAGCTTACATACCATATTCAGTTTGAATACTACTGTCTAGTGTGTATTACAAGAACTGTAGGACAGTTCCACTTATGGTACACCATATATTAAAGATGTGTGTATGAAAACCGGTTAAGTGTTTCAAACTTAATCTGAATGCATACAGTCAGGCACTAGGACAGAAGGGTAAAGCATTCCCAAACCAGTTACTGATGCTTTACTGATGGACCTCAGCCGAGAATCTGGCCAATTGTCTGCATTGCTGGATCATTACTTTAAAATACTGTGAGTTTTAAGTTTCAAAAAAAAACTGAAATGGCAAAACTTCAGATACATAGTGACCACGTATTTTTGTTGGTGCAGGGAATTACTTTCTTTACATACAGCTTGCCCCAATTAAGTCACTTCATTTCACACACAAAAAAAAGCAGGAGGTGATAATTTGCATCTATAAACATTATGCATTCCATTCTTCTACATTTTTTCACAAAACCCTTCAACAGACACCAGAAGCAGTGCTAACAAAAAAAAAAAAAAAAGATTGGTTTCCTGTGGAAACAAAAGAGACAGAGATAGGCACAATCATATTTTATTTCCTTACTAACTGCAGTTTCACAGGAAATTACTCAGCTGAAACATAAAAAGCCTGAGCATTTTTTAAGGACAATATATGTCATTTACAAAGGCCCCTGCATCCTTCACCTGCTTTCATCTTTTACCTCAAGAACACGTCCCAGGATTCATAAGCAGGTGTAGAGCCTTCAACTCCATTTAAGTAAATACAATCTGAAAGAGGAGTCAGTACAAACTTGGGGACTTCTGCATTATACAGGATACCAAAACACCCATTACAGCGTAAATTTAATTTTCTATAAAATCTTTGGATTTCCAAAGGCTGGTACATCTACAACGTCATCAGAAAATCCTGCTGCAGCATTAGTAAAAGCTAGCAAATTCATGATAGTCATTATTATGTGGATCCAATAAAACAGCTCTAGTGATCTTAAAGAAAATCCATGAACATCTTGCAGAGCTATTAAGAACGTGCCACTGTAAAACAGTTACTAAGAGCAACATCTGCAGTTAAGCAAGCACAGAAGTAGTTGCTATTTGATATCTTATTCAAATTCTTTAAAAAAGAACTACCTCCATTCTTCACAGAAGAGCACAAATTTTTCCATATTTCAAGCCTGTTTTGGGAAATGGGTTTCAAAGGACGTCTTAGTGTGTGAAAAATACAGGGGGCATACAGAATCTTATTTAGAGATGCATATAAATCTTTTAAAAACTATGTTTTCAGCTATTCAAGCTTGCACAAATTTAAACAGTGTGAGGGAAGGAACAGCTTGGAGCCTCCCCTTGTTTCCACTTTGTCTTGCTCGCAGCCATTCTGACAGGGAGACACCGGTTCTGCACTAGCCAAGGCAGGATTCTTCAGAAGAGCATTCAACCTCAGACCGCCAGTGATACTGCAAACACCACCATCAAAACCAGTTAGTCTATTACTACATTTCATATCCTGTTCACAGTGACAAATCATAAGCTCTGAATCTAATGCCAGCAGTAGTCTTGCCAACAGAGACTAGGATGGAAAGATTAACATCAGCTTCTGGCACCAAACAACAGAGCAAACTCACTGCAGAGCAAAGTGCCAGGCGCCCTACATCCTACAGTATCTGCACTACGCAGAGAGACAAAAAGCCTCCCGGACTCTCTCACCACTGGGCAAGAGCATCACGTGCTACACAGAATACAGCTTAAAATCCATCATGTAGCCTGCAGCTCTATCAATATTGCACCTGGGCATTCCTATGGTGTTTTTTTTTTTTATCTTCATGAAGATTCAAGCTCAGACAATGGTAGTGTTCTTGTCAATTTTTCTTGCACATTCAAAGATAATTCAAAATCTAGCTTAACGATGAGCTAGCTTTAAGACTAAATGAAGTACTATATCCCCCAAAATTGGAGATAATCCTTGTGCCCCACAACAGACTTGAACTCGTAATCGTTTCACAGAGGTGTTCAAATTGGACTGAAAAGCTCTATACCACTGTAAAAGAAGAGCTTTCTTAACACTGAAGCTGTCTGCATTACATTAGTTTTTTTGTCAGTAATAAAAAGTGGTGTTTTCAGTAATAACCCTCCTTGACAGCAAAAAACAATTTTAAAAACTTTCACAGATGCCCTCCTTTCATGTTTACCCATTGAATCCAGTCAGCTAGCTGTTTTACATGGACGCAGAACCTCAAAGCCAAGCATCTTTCGTGTAAAACCAAAAGCAACAGCAACCTCTTTAGTAAATACTGTGACAATTCTCCCTTTTGAGCACAAAGCTTATATATTTTGTTCAAACATTATTTTAAATTATGTATTCAAAATAATCCAGTGTCAGGCACCTTGCAGATAGATCAGTAGCTTTCTGAAACTATCATGCGAAGTCTCAAAGCCATTGTAAAGGAGATGGGATGACCAGTGTGGTCACATCTTACGAGCGGGAGGCATGCACGCACACAGTGCAGTCTCAGAAGACCACACTTTTTTCTTTTATATCAGGCTAAAACAGCATGTACTTCTGTAACTGAGTATCAGTCAAAAAGCCTACCTAGGACAAGACTAAGTTTGCCAAAGGAAGCACTCTTGTAAGATTTTACACTTAGAAATGCCTGACTTAGCAAGCTACTTCTTCTCAAAGCAATTTTGTATGTAATCTCCTTTCAGATCCTTAAGCACTAGCAACATAATGACAATTAAATAAGAATAAACAAACTCATCTTCCAAAGTCACAGCCTTCATTGATTTGAGATAATTGGATTACTTCACCGTTAATCCAGAAGATGGATGTACGACATCAGGAGCTAAGGGACAGATTCAGGAGGTTCAGAATAAAAATAATCACAATAGCTCCTGGAACTTATGGCAATTTTCTATTCTGCAGAGGCCAATCACATTAACTTAGTTAAGAAAATTGCAAGTGTTATTTTATCCTACCTGGCTGCAACAGTTTAATCTTCACATCCTTGCATAAACACATACAAAGTACTTACAACTTCTTTGATAATGTTTTACCAAAGTTATGTCCTGTGATTTTAATAATCTCCAACCTGAGAACCTAAGAAAAAAAAAAAAAAAGAACAACAAAAAAACCAAAAACTTTTTTAGGTTCCAGTTGTGGCCTTTCCATGAAAACTTTGCAGTCCAAAAAACACCATTTCAGTAAGTAGAATTCATCCCCCTGTGCAATGCCATATAGAACACATTAAAAAGATGTCCTTACCTTTTCAGCAGCCATCAAAGAAAGATGCGTGGAAGTAAACTGCTTTTAAGAGATGAATAGCACTCTTACTATTTTTTTTATCTTTCCTTCAAGAAAACTGGTGGCTGTTCTCCACCCCCCTTCCTTCCTTTGGGCACCAAAATTAAACTGATGTATGTACAGAGGAGCATCCCCAAAACAGCTAAAAGCAAACGCACTCTGACAAGAGCCCTAGCGTTACATGAGCTTTTGTCAAGTCTCTGGTTTTGTTACCAACAACAGAAACTAGCTATCAAAGAGAATTTATTCATTTTTCTAACATTAAAAGGAGACCAAACACAAGAGACTATAAAAGCTGACTGATACTGTCAAAATACGCTGTCTTCAAGCCACACACAGGAAGACCAGTGGCTTTGAGTTCTACATTACAGATGTGAAAATACTACTAACCTCAACGTCCCCAGGACTCGCACAGAAAACTCTGCTTGTATCGTAAACAGTTATTTCCTGGAAACAAAATAGTTTTCTATTCAGGTCTAAATGACAAATCAATTAGCACAGATAAAAGTTCAAAATAATTCATTTTTTATGCATCTGTGAAAAGAAGAAAATTATTTTACCTTACAACTGGAAATCTGATCTCAGATAATGATTAAAAATTAAAATATTATTTGCACTGGATATCCCAATTCAGTCTGTTACAGAACCAAACGTCAGTAATGAAGTTCAAAATTACATCCAAATTATTTCAGTGTGGAAGAGAGGCTGTTCTTGCAGGTTGATCTCCTCTCCTGTTCCTGGCTCTACCAGGTAAACCATATGTACAATGCAGAAGACCTCCTTAGCGTTTTGAGTGTTTTAAGAAACATTCTTTTTTGTTAAAATTAAACAAAGCACTGCAGTTCTATCCACACAGCAAAAATAATGCCATGTGAATAGAATGAAGCCTGCAATTTTATAACTTCCTTAAGTTAAATAGGTTCAAACACTTCCACCTGCGTATGTCAAGTTTAATCACCTTCTTCAGCTGTATCACTGAAGGGAAAGCAATTGTTAGTGGGGCACAGAGCTAAGCCCAGCAAAGAATATTTGGATGATTTGGGCCTTTGTTTCAGACAAAACTTTAGGTAAATGAAAGGCCAGAGATAACCTGAGGATTGTTAACTACCCACGGCGACAAATATCCAGTATCACAAAGCCAGGCTGAGGAACGTCAGCCTTCCTGCCAGCTTTCCCCCTAGTATTTAACGGAAGCCTTAATTGTCACACTTTTCTCCCACTGTATTTTTCCCTCTCATCCCTGGGCATGAAAAACTGCTGCAGTATTTTAGACGCACTAAGAATGTAACCAAGTTACAGCCTTTTGTCCTTTTGTCTAAACAAGCACCACTCGTTCAGCCTCACTTTTCTGGTTCCTGCTTTCTGCTCGGTGGGAGCAGTGAGCGCAGGGCTCAGAGGAGAGGGGCCAAGGGCAAGCCCAGCAGCCAGACCCTGGCAGGGCGGGCAGAGCAGGTGCTGCCTGTGGGGTGCCCACACCGTCCCAAAGAGAGATGACTGTTCAGCGTCGAGGTGACCAGTCAGGGTCATCATCTTCAGGAGAAGCTTGAGGCAGGGCCAGACATGGGATTGGAGACAAGGCCAAAGCATGGAGCTGAGGCCTGCCCCGGAGACAGGCCTAGAGTGGAGGGAGCAGGGGTGGGGGCCACAGCTGAGGCCCTGGCTGCCTCTCCACTTCACCCAGGCTGCTCCGGACTCGAACGGCATCCTCCGGGTCTCTCGGAAGCTGGCACCGGCACCGGCCTGGGCAACCCGCGAACACTGCGCGTGCACACACAGAACCCGTACATGGCGAAAAGCGTGCCCTTTAATTTCACTGCCCAGATTCTGGCTGCTAAAACTGACGGGATCTGCTTAGAACAGTGAGAACACTCACATTCTTCACGCCTTTCCGTGCTTTTTTCCGTTCCTGGGCGTACACGACACACTCGGGGCTCCGTTTCAAGCTGTTTCCAGACACGACACGCAGACCCTCCTCCCCAGGGAAGGACCCACCGCTCCGCACACAGGCGGCGAGCTGCCGGCGTGCGAAACGCAGC